TAAGTTAATCTTTTAAAAAGTATTATATTTGTTGCATTTACAGATTGTATGTTCAATATCTTAAATTGAATTACATTTGGTTTTTTTTTTATTTAAATTTTTTAGTAATGTTTTTTACTTTTTTCTCCAATCAGTCTTGCTAATCATTATATTGGTTACATTTAAAAGTTAGATCTTCAATATCGCAATTTAATTACATTTGATTATTTAAAAATCTAATTTTTGTGGAATGTTTTTTACTTTTTTCTCCAATCAGTCTTGTTAATCATTATATCGGTTATACTTTAAAAATATGTCTTCAATACATTACATTTCGTTTTTTAAAAATGTTAATTTTTTGTAATGTGTACTTTTTTCTGCAATCAGTCACAATCAGCACAAGAAAATACCTTTATTAATATTTCCACTTTCGCTTTAATGGAGTGGTATACTTACTTGTAAATATGCAAAGGCTGCATTTGACCAACCCAAAGGCTGCAGTGGTAAAAATACATGCACCAGCAAACGTGGACGGACACCCAAATGATCCTGACCTTCACAAGAGAATATATTTATTAATATTTGTACTACCATACGTGGATGGATACAGGGATACTAGCATGCAGAACTTACTTGCAACGGCTGCACTTGTTGTAAAACGCTACTTTTTGCAAAATAAATATGTAAATTATTGTTGTAATTCAAAATATTTCCATTATTTTCGATTTTTTTTGCCATACTTACTTGAATTTGCTCAATAAGAAAATGAATTTCCTCGAAATAATCTATGAAAATATCGGCAGTGTTGCCTGTTGAACTTTTTACAAGAAGACAATATTTCTCCTTGTATTTTAGTAGTAGTTTTTATAAAACAAAAAAGAAGGCAACACAGGCCAAGGCAGAATGCGGGAGCGAGACAACTGCCAGGTTATCCAACCTTGTATTATTGATTCATGGTGCCGGTGTTAAACTAATAATACTAATAATAGATTGGCGCTTACACATATGTGAGTGTTTGGCCGAGCTTCTCCTCCGACTTGTGGCGTGCGCCTTGATGTTGTCACACAAAGCGGAGGGACCTACAGTTTTACGCCGACTCCGAACGGCGACTGTATTTTAATGAGCTGTTTTTCATGGCAGAAATACACTCGGAGGTTTGCCATTGCCTGCCGAGGGACGACCGCTATTTTTTGGGATGTTGCTTTGACTAGGGCTTGAACCCAGGTGCTGATAAGTGAAAGCGCGCACTGCTTATCCCTACACCACAGCGGCCGACGAGCGGTGTCAAACTAAGGGCCGGTTACTCAATGTCTGGTTAACACTAATCTCCGGTAAAACATCGTTATCGACGTTACCGACTCCATGTTATATGCATGGAGCCAAACACGTCGATAATGATGTTTAAACGGAAATTAGTGTTAACCACATATTGAGTAAACGGCCCTAAGGTGAATTAATACAAGGTGGTATCGTTTGGGCAAAAACAACTCAAGTATACCCAAGTTCAAAACCCAAAAATACAACAAACACATAATTTTCACATTCAGAAGGACCGCGGCTAGTTTTAGCAACACCACCTTGTAAAAATTCCCCTTGTGCTGCACATTTTACAAGTGGCACTTCTTTTGTGCGTTCTTTGCGCCGCCCGGTGTTGTCAGTGTTCCGGTGTTCCTGGCGCCATTGCGTCACTGAGTTGTGAAAATCGGTATCGGCGCCAGTAACTCAAATCTCGGTATCAGCGCAATGGCACGGCGCCGCACTGTGTTACCCACGGCTAATGTTGAGTACCGACAATCAGCACATAACTATTCCGTTTAATTTAGCAAAATAGTTGTTTTGGGAAGTATACGCTTTTTATTTCCAAAATCAAGCAATATACAGAAGAAAAATGGCTTTTCTTCGGGGCTCTCTTAATTATGTATGGTGCACAACGAGTGTTTTAGGGAAAGGAGCAACCGGATCAGTTTTCCAAGTAAGTGCATATCTCACAAGCATGGATACAACTTACTGAGTTATTCGTAGGGAGTTAATAAAAATACGGGGGAGTCCGTCGCTGTGAAGACATTCAATCCGTATAGTCATTTGCGACCTCCAGATGTTCAAATGCGGGAATTCGAAGCGCTCAAGAAATTACATCATGAAAATATTGTCAAGCTCCTCGCCATCGAAGAAGACCAAGAGGGCCGGGGAAAGGTAATCGTAATGGAATTATGTACGGGGGGTAGTCTGTTCAACATACTTGATGATCCCGAAAACTCCTACGGTCTACCAGAGAACGAATTTCTCTTGGTGCTTGAACATTTATGTGCGGGCATGAAACATTTACGAGATAATAATCTGGTGCATCGTGATCTTAAACCCGGAAATATAATGAAATTCATTTCTGAAGATGGTCAAACAATTTACAAGTTAACTGATTTTGGTGCAGCCCGTGAACTCGACGATAATCAAGCTTTTGTATCCTTATATGGTACTGAAGAGTATTTGCATCCGGATATGTATGAACGTGCAGTGTTGCGGAAACAAATAAACCGATCTTTTACGGCGAATGTAGACTTGTGGTCCATTGGTGTCACGCTTTATCATGTTGCCACGGGTAATTTGCCGTTTCGTCCATTTGGGGGACGCAAAAATCGCGAAACCATGCACCAAATCACCACAAAGAAAGCTTCTGGTGTTATCTCGGGCTCACAACTATCTGAAAATGGTCCGATTGAGTGGTCAACAACTTTACCGTCATATTGTCACCTTTCAGAGGGTATAAAAACATTGGTGACACCACTACTAGCCGGTTTGTTAGAAAAGAATCGCGAGAAAACCTGGTCATTTGATCAGTTCTTTCAAGAGGTAACTTTAATTTTACGCAAAACCGTGTTGCATGTTTTCTTCACCAACCGTACCAGTTCAGTTGAGGTGTTTCTCGAACCGGACGAACAAATCGAACATTTCCGCGAGCGCATTTTTTTGCAAACTGAGGTGCCTATAGAAAAACAAATACTATTATTCAATAACGAGCATTTAGAAAGGAAAGTAACATCCGGTACCATATGTAAGTTACAAAGCGATTATATTAAATCTGATTAATAATTTATCTTTAATTTAAAGCCAAAGCCTTTCCGAATACCACAACAGACACCCCAATATTTTTGTATAGTAATGACGACAATAATGTACAATTACCACAGCAATTTGATCTGCCCAAATTCCCCGTATTTCCAAATAACGTATCGGTCGAAAATGACGCAAGTCTGGCCAAAGTAAGTGAATTTGCTATGAGTTAAGAATATTTGCGTTTTTGTTACCATTGTTTCTTTCAGACTGCCTGCAGTGTTGGTCATGAATGCAAGCATCGAATTGATACTTTTACTTCAATGGATATTTTAATAAAGCGCGGCGTGGAACATTTCATAGCGATGTTGATAACAACTATAACCTTACTACTAAAGTATTATATTATTTTTATCAGTGAATTTTAGTTTTAAGCAAAGATTTTTCCAGGAAAACTAAACACTTTGAAAACCTTTTGACTACTACCCTTGATTATGCGGATGCGGTTAAACGTCTTGCAAATCTAGTAAGTCTACAGAAGTTTGTTTTAGGATAAATTCATTTTAATTATTTCAAAACAAGTATCAGAAAATTTTATTTATACCATTTGTGAGATAACTTGGGAGGGACTTTGTGAAATTGATTCGCATGGTACGGAAATAAACGTTAAAGGATCTACCGTTTGCATTAATTTAGAATCCAACCTTCATCTGATGTTATTTATTTTTTATAGACAAAACCAGATAATGAACTTAAACCAATACTTTCTACACTATATGATCTGAAGCCTAAATTCGATGATGCTGCTGATGTGATAATGCAAATGTATAAACATTTCGTTGTTGAAGACTCGCTCAAGTACGTTCACTAATTTTACATTCTCGAATTTTGAAGCGCAGTATTTATATTAAATTTTAACAATACCAGCGATCACTGGTCATCATCGATGCATGGCAAACGGTGCCCTTGCCGTACTAGAGCCAGTCCACAAGCGAAATACTTGGTGGAGCGCCTGCGTGACTCCTGGCAACATTTGCTGCGCGATCGTGCCACACGCACACTTACATACAATGATGAACAATTCCATGCACTGGAGAAGATAAAAGTAAGCTGAGGGGTTAGCACTATTGATTTAAATTCATAAATATAGAAATCCCACTAATTGTTTTTTTCATTACAGGTAGATCGTAACGGCAAGCGTATCAAAGGCTTGTTATTGGATGATGTAAAACCTGCTGTAGCGCAAATGGCCGAATGTCTGGCTGATTGGTATAAACTAGCACAAACTGTTTATCTTAAAACACAAATATTACAGAAGGACATACGTGACTATGAACGTAAGTTAAATGATGTACGAGATGAGTTGTATCACGTTAAATCCCAGATGAAACCCGATTCAAACGGAAAAGTGATTACCAACAATAATAAATTGTCAAAGAATATGCAGAAAAATATGATAGAGGTATATGCACGCGCAAATTTATTTTGGACAAAACAATGGGAAAATAACATGTAAATATATATGTATATTTTTTTTGTAGAAAATGAAGGAACAACACGAGGAAGTTTTACAAATAATGCATGAAAATGAAGTATTAATAAACCGACTTAAAGAGTTAGGTATAGATGCAGGCAGCGTGAAGCAGCTTGAAATACTAAAGAATAAAACGTAATTTACTGCACCCATACAAATAAAATTAGACTGAAAAAAAATATACTAAGAGGACTCAGATGTTCCCTCAATTTTAATCACTTTGGAAATAAAGAACATCTATATTGCTTTTAAATATGTATTTAAATAAGTAAAAAAAA